TAACTTTTTTAATTAAGAAAAGTCAGTGGGAAAGATTGTTGCAGCTTCAATGCAGTAGTCAGATCAGGGAGTCCTGTTTATGATGACTGCGGCCTCACCACCCCACTGCCCTACAGTGGCCTCCATCAGTATCCATAACGCCAAGATGGTAATGGCAAGTGTGGTGGAAACTCTTTTGGAAAATCACTTACAGACCCACACAATGCAGCTCCCTTTCATGGTCTGATTTTTCCATTTGCCTTTACCCACATGCCTACAAATTGTTCCGTAATCACAAACCGTGACGTTCACGTTTCATACTCAGCGTGTATTCTATTTCTTCTGCTGGTTTATTTTCATGAGGCAAATTCTTAGTCATGAGTTAATTGGATTAAGGATATAACCAGATTTAATGTCTGTAACTGTTGGCTTTCCAAAGGGTAATGACATATCCATCTGCTGCAAGGTATGAATATGCCTAACACGAGTGGTAGTGGCATTCTGTTAAATTTGAAAGCATGTACAAGGGCTGGAGAGATGCCTCAGTGGTTAAGAGCACTGACTGCTCTTCCAGAGGTCCTGAGTTCAATTCCTAGCAACCACATGGTGGCTTACAACCATTTGTAATGGTGAACGCATGAACAAGTGCCCCTGGGTAGTCTGTGGATTTTATTGTCACTGATCGTGAATATACATCTGTGAATTATGCTGCCCCTCTGTTCATAGCCATTGTTTACCTAACTAAGCCTAAGACTTCTGTTTTATTGCATACGAGTCACTGTTACAAACATTTCCTTTCTACCAGGACTGCACCTTCAGAAAGCTTTCATTATTTATATTTCTTATATTATCTTAATGTAACTTGTAATCATTGACAGTAATCTTAGACTTTTTTCCCGTTGCCTCAAAAGAGAAGACAAGTAAGGAGGAGATGGGCCTTAACACCCTGTTCTTCAGATTGTGCACTTGCATGTATACTGTGCACCTTAAATATTTAGATTGATTTTTGCCTATTTAGTTCTCCTCAGATTGCTAGTCAGCTTTTTAAACAATACAAAATAGCTTTTAGGTTCTTCTCTGCTAGGTCTGTTGGTGTCTGAAAAGTTTACTGACTTTTAGGAAGTCAAGATGGGTGTTTGACTGTCTCTGTCTTTGCTTCTCTGTATCTCTCTGTCTGCTGTCTCTGTCTTCTGTCTGTCTCTCCCTCTACCTCCTCGCCTCTCTCTGTGTGTCTGTCTGTTTGTGTAGGTAAAGAGTACTGGTATAAACAGTGGGTACATGGCTAAGTTCTGCTTTCACTGATGTGTCTTATTTTTGGCAGTGAGGTGAGATGTGAGGGACCCTGGACACTTTGGAGTTATTTGGGGGTCAGGTCTAGTTTCTTGCATCATCAGAGCTGTGAATGTGCCCACACAAGTGGCTCACGAGTGCTCATTTCTTTTTTTTTTCTGCTGGTGAGGTTTTGAGGCACTGGGTCCTAGCTTTACTTCCCTACTGATGGAAGACGATTGTGCCCTCTTGGAGACAGTGGGTTTAGACTGGGCTGAAAAAAAAGTGTTCCTGTTGTTCTGCAGTCTAAGTTGTAAAGTATGTCTTCTGGACAGCAGGAGAGAAAAGGAGGCCCCTGAAGGAGAGTCCAAGGCCACCACTTTTTTTTTTTTTCCCACTTCTTAAGGCTTATGGCAGAGGTCTGGGAAGTAGGGTGGAAAAAGAGTGAATTTTTTTTTTATTCCCCTTGAAACAGTTTACCTGTCTGGGAGTTGAGGATGGGGAAATGACATCAGTACCCTTACCCCAGGGCCTGAGTTGTCATTTGTTCAAAGGAAATGACATGCTCATGCATGTACTTGGCTTGTAGGTTGCAGGAGGAATGTGCTGTGTGTTATACTCCGTAATACTCTGTGCCCAGGATGACTAGGGAGTGTGTGGTCACTGCTGGGCGAACCTGCAGCTAGTTCATACCAAGTGTTGGAGGTACTACATGGGAGGAGTTTTAATTTAGGTCTTGGCTGTTAACAGTTCTTTGAGGGTTTGGACCCCAGCATCTGGTCTGTTTGGTTGTAGGGCTAGGGTGGAGGAGGGTGAACTAGATGGGGAGGGAAGATGGCACCCTGAATAGGGAGAATCTACTACACTCAGAGTGCTGGCCGGTTTCCCTGTGGCAGCATGATCTCCTGTGTGTGTCTGTGTTCTCCACACTGAACTGTGAACAAGAACTGAAGGAGACTGAGGATTTGTAGTGTGACGATCCCTGTGCTCTCACAGAATGATCATGAAGGCCTGGAGCTGGGGCACAGGGTCAGTCAGCATCATCATGTATGCTGGCAAGAAGACAGATGAGCCATAGAGTTCTGAACCGCAGTGGGGTAGACCGTGGCTGTGGGGTACCTTCTAGGAGTTCCAGACATCTAGGTGCTTGTGTAGTCCACTTCTCAGGCTTCCCCACAAACCCCAAGGAAGAAGAGATGTATTTGGTGCTCTGAGGACAGGCTGGTCTTGTCTATAAGAGGAAGAAGTGGTAGCACTTGTGACATTTTGATATCTTAACAGGACATTTCAAAAGCTAACTTGATTGGTTCTAATTGAGTTCTAGGTTTACTTTTCCTCCTACACAGGCCAATTCAGCTATCTCTAGTTATCCCTCCGTCCCCACCACAGGTGTCCTCAAATGAAATGGACAACCTTTATGCTTTGAGGAATGTCATTTCTGATTAGGTTTCTTTCTTCAGGGCCCGTTATAACCTAACCAGGGTGCTGCACCCGAACATTAGACCCTCTTATCTTCTCAGTGTCTCCATAGAGAGGATAGCCTCTCACTGTGCAGTAGCTGCTTCACCAGGTATGGATCTGGCTTCATAGGCTAGCTACCCAAGTAGCTTGTTAACACAGATGGAGAGCCTAACCAGTCCTATACAGAGTGGTGGAGGCTGGACTCTAAAGAATGTGAGGTCGACTCTGATGATCCCAGGTGAGGCCTTCGTAGTAGCACCAGGGACCAGTTGTTCATTGTCTGTTTCAGGTGAGGACCCCAAGGGCCTGAGTAGGGCAGGGACTTGATTGGGCCAGACCACGCTGAGAAGGATGGTGCCTGTTCTTTTTTCTGAAAGAGCTGGGGCTTCTCCTTGTTGTTGCTTGTGTGATTCTGTGGTGTTGAGAGCCCTTGAGCACCTGGAATAGTGTGTTCCCACTCATTCTTGGAGGGCAGTTTCATGGAAGTGTTCTGGGATAGATGTGGGGCTGTTGGGTGGCTGAGAGGTCACTCCTACTGTCTCACCCATGCCTCCTGGCAGCTGCCCCAGATAGGGTGAGGGAGTGAGAGGTGGAGTCTAGATGGTTCACATGGATTGCATACTTTGGGACATGGCTGAGTACATACAGGGCCCATTTGTAGAGGAATCATGTTCCTTTGTCATTTTCTCAGAACATTGCAATCCTATAGCTACATTCAGGCTCATCTCTAAACCTGATTTTGTAAATACCCTGTCCTCAGAAAAGCTGTAGAAGTTAGTTGTTTCAGGTGTCTGGGTAGAGGGATTGTCTCTTCACTGCCAGGATGGCCTTGTTTGGAATTTGGTCCTTGTCCTATATCTGGGTCCTCCTAACCTTGACAGTGTACTTCTCTTCAAGTACATGTGGGGGGAGGGTTGGGGAAGTAGCACCCCTTCCTGTACACAGGGCTGGGATAATAGTACCCTTTACTGTCTGGAGCCTCAGATCCTGGCCCCTTGTTCAGCTTGAGTACCCCACCCTGTCCCATGTTCACCTGTGCTTTATTCCTGAGGGTGATGACAAAGGGAGGTGCTACTGGTGGGCCTGGCTGTGAGTATTTTGGTGGCTGACAGATAAGAAATAACATGTACTGTTCACCCTGCAACTTCAAGGCTGTTCCCAAAGGGACACTATAGTCCGGATTTATTGTATTTGGCCAGGGAGCCAAGCCATGTCCATGGTGGATAGGAGTAGGAGATAGACAGCTGGAGTGAGAGTGAATGCTAGCTGCTGCTGCGGGCTTTGGGATGTCTCACTGCCCAGACAGGGCCGTCTCATTTCTGAACAGGCTGTGCCTGGGAGCTTGTCTCAGACAATAGGCAAATGAATGTGGACATAACTATGTCTTTGTGTTGACCCCACAGTTAGATCCTGTGTAAGCCTGCTGATCTTTCTGCTTGCTTCCCACCATGGTTTCCTGTGATCAAATCTTCATTTCCTTGGTTGGCTATGGTGGTTAAAAGAATGTGGGCAGTGGAATCCCTTTGCCATGGTTCAGATTCTGGACTCTGTTCTTTTCTTCTTTTTTATGTATCTATTTTTGAAGGTAAGGTCTCATTGTGTAGCCTAAGTTGGCCTGGAGTTCACAGCAGTGCTCCTACCTCAGTGTCCCAAAAACTGGGGTTACAGGTATGAGCTACTGTGTCCAGCCTCTTGCTCCTGAGGTCGTCACATGATCTTTCTGAACTCCTGTGTTCTTGACATGGGGTGGAAGGAACAATCAATACACAGCTAAGAAGAAGATGAGATAAATGGTTGAGAAAGTTCCAAGCAGAGTTTCTAGTACTTTGATGACACTTAAAAATTGCTATCCTTTCCTCTTCCTCTTCCTCTTCCTCTTCCTCTTCCTCTCCTCCTCCTCCTCTTCCTTCTTCTTCTTCTTTTTTGGTTTTTTGAGACATGGTTTCTCTGTGTAGTCCTGGCTGTCCTGGAACTCACTCTGTAGACCAGGCTGAAATCCACCTGCCTCTGCCTCCCAAGTGCTGGGATTAAAGGAGTGCACCATCACTACCTTCTTGCAATATACCCACCCCACCCCCCCACCCACCCCCCTTTTTTTTTTGGAAGCTGACTTTTAACCTGGTTGCTGTTTAGCCTCTAGTTATAGCACTAGTAGTAGACCTGTCTTTGGATGAACAGATAGACATGAGGGAACAGTGGAATTTCAGGAAGTTGAATGGGAGCCTTGGCCTTTCTGTGCATGGGGAGCAGGTTTGAAGCTGACTGTGCCTCATCAGTCACTGTCCCTGCAGGTCCTGCTTCTCAGAAGATGCACTATTATAGATACTCGAACGCCGAGGTCAGCTGCTGGTACAAGTACCTGCTCTTCAGCTACAATATCGTCTTTTGGGTAAGTCCAGAGATGTGGCCACAGTCCCTTGTGTGATTGGAACCGTCATCACCAAGTCACGATTCTCTATATACTCCTGATGACCAGACTCCAGTGAGGCCCTGGAAAGAGGCAAAGGGCAGGTTCAGTGGTCCTTGTCCTCATAGAACCAGCCAGGAGTATTGTCATGGGTGGGCTCAGGTGACTGAAAGCCAGATTAAGGGGTCCAGCCCAGTCTGGGTGGTTCAGGAAACCTTTGGTCACTGTCTCGGTGTAATGGTGCTATCTTCCTATCCCAGCAATGCACTGTAAGACATGGATAGCCAGGTACCTTGTAGACCAGGCTGTCTTCTGTATCCTGGGAGAGGATAGTCAAGACACAGCTGAGAAGGCTGTAATGAGGGCCATAAAGTCCTGCACTTCTGGAAATTGTGGTTTACTAAGAACAGCATTAGTGTGGTGAGCATCAGAGGGTAGGGTAGCGCTTTGCTAATGTGGTTAGGTTAGCAGAGTGTGCTGAGCCTAGGATGCAGGAAGTGAGCTGGGGGCTGAGTATCACTGAACAGGCTGCCCAGTGGGATATGAGAAGGAAAGATCCAGTCAGAATGGTAGTTGCAAAAGCTATCAGGCTGGCTTTCCTGAGGCAGAAGCGAGGTCAGCATGTGCAAAGGAGGACAGGCAGTCATGAGACTGGAGCTGAGTGAAAAAGGCAACACAGACAAGGACAGGGACACTGAGAAGTCTGGTTACACAGGTCTCAGTGGGTATTGAGGTTATCTTTCATCTCTTTACTTCTTGCTAGGAATTGAGTCCAGGGCCTTGTGCATGTTAGGCATGCACTCTGCCACGAAAGCTATAATTTTTTATTGTAATACATTTTTTATTTTCAGGTAGCCCCTATACTTTTTGTTTTCAGATAATCTTAGTTGGTACCCTGGCTAGTTTTAAGGTTTGACACAAGAGTCATTTGGGAAGAGGAACTCTCAATTGAGAAACGCCTCCATAAGGTTTGCCTATAGGCAAATCTATAGTAGTTGGTGTGGGAAGGCCCAGCCCATTGTGGGTGTGGCCACTCCTGGGTGCTGTAAGAAAGCAGGCTGAGCAAGCCATGGGGAACAAGCCAGAAAGCAACGTCCCTCCATGGCTGCTGTATCAGCTCCTTTCCCCAGGGTCTTACCCTACTTGAATGCTGCTCTGACTTCTCATGGTAATGGATTGTAATCTGTGAGGTAAAATAAATCTTCCTCCCCAAGTTACTGTTGGCCCAGCAATAGAAACTCTCATTAACACAGTTGCCCGGATGACTTTGAATTTAGGACCCTCTGTCTCAGCCTTCTGAGCAGCTGGGATTATGGGTATGTGCTACCACACTGCCTTTTTATGTATTTCTTTAACTCTCAGGAGCTTTTATGTATGTGTTGTGTGGTGTGATCTGACTTCAGAGTGACTGCAGAATAAGGGAGAAGACCAGTTGAGCCATATTCTGAGAGGGAACTTTGGTGGGGTGTATGGGTAGTGAGAGTTTTTTCCCCCTTGGCTGGCCTTATGAGGATATACCCTGGAGGTGCATTTTAGGAAGGTGTGAGTGGAGAGAGATCATCGAAATGAGTGTGCATACCTACTGAGGAGAGTCTTGAATATTGCCTGAGATGCTGAGGCCAGGTGGAAAAGGAAGGCCTCTTAGACCTGGCCAAAATGAGTACAAGCCTGGGGTAAAAAGGCAGTTTTGTGTTGTAGAAGCTTCTCTGGTAGAAAAGAGTAGTCAGTTGTGTCACAGAGGGGTGACCTTGGTTGCTGTTGTTGGAGATGGGAAGGGACCAGCTACATTGAGGAGGTTGGTCAAGGAACCAAAGGAAAGTGAAGAAGTGAAATTCTAACTAACAACAGTTCTTTCAATTACTCAGGCCTCAAAAGCAGAAAGACTGGGCAGTTGCTGGAGCTGGTCAGGGGTTGGGGAGCTACACTGTGTGTGTGTTTGGCCCTCAGGACTGGGCAGAGCAAGGCAGACACTGGCACTGTGTGGGAAGGTGAGGGAAGAGATGACGTGTAGAAGCCTTTATGTCAGTAAGCACACTGGTCATTGGGGGCCACAGAGAAAGGGGGCAGAGTAGGTGGTAATGTCTTTTGCTTCTGTTGTGGAGTTGGTGGTTACTGTCTCAGAGCTGGAGAACTGGGCAGTTTACTAAGACTCCACTGCTTCCCTCTCCTGCCCCTCCCCTCCTTCCTCTGCCTTTCTGCTCCTCTTTCTTTGCTTCAGTACTGAAGATAGAAACCCAGGGCTCATGCATGCTCAACTACTGAGCCATTCACCCCTTCTGACATTTCTTCCCTCCCTCCCTCCTTCCTTCCCTCCCTCCCTCCCTCCCTCCCTTTCTCCCTCCCTTCTTCCCTCTCTCCCTTCCCTCCTTCCTTCCCCCCTCTCTCGTTTTTTGAGTCAGAGTTTTCCCTGTATTCCTGGCTGTCCTGGAACTCAGTCCATAGACCAAGTAGTCCTTGAACTCACAGAGATATGCCTGCTTCTGACTTCCGAGTGGTGGGATTAAAGGTACAAAGCACTAGGCCTGGCCACTTCCTACCTTTTCTCTGGCGTCACGTCTGTCCTGGTGATGTCTCTCTGTGTGATTAGGAGTTCTCTGTCCTAGAGAAAGGGTGGAGTACAGCGGCATATCTTTTACCCCAGACTTTCCTGTGCTCAGTCTTCAGCCTCAACTTAATTCCTGATGTGGGCATCGCTGGGCATCAGTGTGTGTGCATGTTCTCTTTCTGTCGCTGTGACAAAATGCCAGAGATAGTGAACTTATAAGAGAGAGGCTAAGGTGTTCTATGATCACCTGGATTGTTGGCTTTAGGCTCTGGTGGTAGTGTCAGCTGTGGAGTGTGTGACAGCAAAGTGCTGTCCTCATGGCCAGGAAGCAGAGGAGGTGTAGAGTGGGCTAGAATGTCACAGTCCCCTTCATAAGCATGCAGTTAGCTATCTGCAAACTATAGCAGTATGTTCTTGGTCACAGAGGCCTGTACTCCATTCTTGCCGTGTATTGTGGGGCTTCTCAGACTTGCATTTTGCTCCCTATCTGGAGAGCATTGCTTCCTGTTTCCTTTGACTTGATCTTTGACATTCTAATTGTCACAGGCAGCACAATACCCTCATTGTCCCTAGTCCTAGACAAGTCCCTAGTCACCTCTTCCTTCAGAGGTTCTTCATAACAGATTCTTGGTTCTTAGGGAACAGGACTTACTTGGGTACTTATACATTGGCAGCACAACATTCAAACAGTTCATTGAATCCAAATTGTGGCAAGCCTGGACTGAAGTATGTAGTAGTATTTTAAGGATTTTGCGGACTTGGCAGTGTATGTGGTTGAGAGTTAATCATTTTTGTTAGTGAGCACTGGGGCAGAAGAGGAGGGAACAAACAGGAACAGTTAGGAAATGCCCTCAGAGAATGGATGTGGGGCCAGGCCCCTTGGTGTTGGCCACCATCCCCACTATTCCTGGCATGAAGTTACTTTACCTGGGCAGGATGCAGCAGTGTGGAGGGAGGCCCAAGCTTTGCAACTCGTGGAGACCTGGGAAGCTCACACACAATGCAGTGGGGTGAGGTCAGTCTACTCTGGACACCTCGATACAGTCTGCCCTCTCCCCTGAACACAGGGACCTTGAAAAGCCTGGTGTTCCCACTGAGAAATGTTGATCTCAGCTGCCTGGTGTCTCCATTACACGGTTTCAGAAAAAGGAGAAAGTGGTGTGCTAAGTCCATATGGCTTCTGAGTTTCCTTTTTTTAGATGGAGAAAATAGAAGAATGTACCAAGCCTCATGATTCCATCATCCGGTTTCAGAAATGAATTCAGCTGCTTTTGTTCCCCAACCTCTTTTAGATTACTTTGAATCAAAGCCTGGGTCGTTTTTCCATACAGAACGTGTTTGTTTTTGTTTGGTGGCTCAGTAGGCCAGTGTGAGTATGCAGAAGGCAGCCAGTATCTGTGGCCAGTTGAGGTGCAGGGACAGACTGGCTGAAGGTGAGCCACCTGCCTCTTCCAGCCTCTCCAACACCACTTTCTCTAGTGAACAGATTCCTGGAGCTCTCAAGGAACGTCTACTGGTTCTTGAGCCTGATTCCCATCCATTTGGTAAGGTGTGGATGCTGCTGTCTGTGCACTTAGTGAATTAAGCTTCTTTTGATTCTTTACACAGAGATGATACAGAAAATCACTTCCTGGGAGCCTAGTGCTTTGAGAGCAGCCCCCCCCCCCCCCACGTATTTTTTTTTTCTTTGATCGCTTTTTGGTTGTGCTATACCTGTTTCTAGTTTAGAGTCTTGTTCAACTCAAGGAAATGCAAATTAAAACCACAGTATAATAGCACCTCATACCCACAAAGGTGTGATGTGTTTTCTTTAAAAAAAAAAAAGCAGAAGATAAATGTTGGTGTAGGTGTGTAGAAATTGGTGACCTTGTACATTGTGTCATGGAAGCAAGCATGATCTGTGATGGCAAACTGGTGTCACTTCTGGTTAACAACGATATTACCATGTGCAACCCCACTTCTGGATATATATGCAGAAGATTGAAAGCAAAATGTCAGATGTTTGTACACCAGTGTGCGGCCATTGGTGATCAGGAGGTCAGGAAGTGTAACATCTTAGAGCCTAAGTCACTCTAGGACACATGCTGGAGTACAGACGAACCTTTAGGACATGTATGTTAAGTAGAATAAGCCAGATATGAAAGGAACAATTTGATTTCACTTACAGGTTAGGTGCTGTATGACTCCACACACAGTAACTAGAATAGTAAGCACAAAGACATAGACACAGAGAGTGGATTTCGGTTGCCAGGCAGTGAGGAGGTGAAAATGGGCAGGCTCATAGTCCATTTGTGCTGATTTTATGGATTACTACAAGAGTCATTTATATCCAGAGAAGATTATCTGGTGAATAGTTCTAGAGCAGTAGCTCTTTATCTGTGGGTCGCAACCCCTTTGAGGGTCAAATGACCCTTTCACAGGGGCCGCCTAAGACCAT